CTTACTTTATGTTCCATTTTCTGCAGGTTCCATGTTTCTAGGTCTTACATAAGCCATGAGTCTGTCAATGGGCATACATTTTTTTACAGATGAATGGTCTGGGAGCCATTTTATTGGCACAAACATCACCATTTACTAGTTTAACCTACAATTTCTCAATAGAAAAATATAGTGGTATGTTCCTGTTCTTCCCCAAGTTGGTATTTCTTCTCAAACTGAAAGTTTCTTCTAAGTCACACACACACACAAAATATGTATAGTCCAGGAGGAGAGGACTCCAACGGAGAGGACTCCCAACATACAGCTTCAGGGTCACAGAATGCCAGTTTTCTTACTTTGTGCAGTTGCATGGTGACAGATGTACCTGAAGATTTTGAATCAAGCGTGGACAAATGTATTTAGGATTCCTTTCATTACAGCCAAACTTTAGTATAATCATACCCTAAGCATGCATGTCTGGGAAGAAACATTCAACTGCAGATTACTTCCTATAACCAAACATTGTGAGGGTGACCCTTTTTTGTATGTGGAAGAGGGCCTTCCCATTTGAAGAGTCCTTAGAAGTCAACGACAGGTGAATGATTTCAAACAGGATACTACTGAAAGGAATCATCTTGTTGCCTAGCATACCTGTTAATGGTGCAGGGTGGCCACAGGCACAACACAGAAAACTACTGGAGTTAAAGCAAAGTGACAAACTATTTTAGATATGTGGTGTAGGAGATCCACTAAATTAAAAAGACTATTAAAGCTACACTCCATAGGGAGCCATTTGTTCCATATGTGTAGTATTCGATTACTTTTTTGTAGCCTGATTTCGGTCCGTGTGCTCCTTGCCTTAAAACATGCTTCCACTTCTGTAGCCAAGTTGGGATAACACCTAATAATTTGTTACATATTCCCCATCACATAGCATAAGCTGAAAAAAACATTAAAGAGTCCTTATTGGAGTTTAAACTGCATTGATATGGTTTCTTGGCTTAAGGGTTAAAATTCCTGCTTGTTTCTCCTTTGTAATATTAGGAGGGGTTGTGAGGGTTCTTTTTAACCCTATTTGTACTATGCTGTCCCATCTCATAGTTTTTAAACTAGATTTAAAAGGAGAACTATGAGATGAGTGATTTCCACTCGCCTCATAGTTCTAAGCCGACCTGTGACAATGAGACTGTCACAGGTCGGCTCAGTATCCATCTAAAAGGGTAAAAGGATTACAACACTGGCTTCAGCATTGTATGTTGACAACGTTAATGAGAAATACAATCCACAAATTTCAGTAGTTCTAAACCTATGAAGACAGATCACTTAGGCCTTGTTCACACCAAATGCAGAGCAGATCTGCATGAGTTTCTGCACACGCAGTGCAGTGGGTTGAGCTGCGTTTTTGATGCGTTCCGGGTAAAAAAATGTTGTTTTTTTTAAGTTTAAAATGGGCTTTCAGTGCGTTCCAGGGCGTTTGCATGCGTTACAGAGCAGGTAAAAATAGGGCCTGCTGCAGTTTTTTTTACCTGCCCTGGAACGGAACGCTGCGATGTGAACTGGAGCTAAAAAAATACAATTGGAATACATTGGACGCAGTTTTGCTCCGGTCTGTAACTGCTCTGCTCCTGGAACGCGCTTGGTGTGAACAAGGCCTGAAGGTGCTCAGAAAAACCTGGATTCAGCTATTTTTTTAAAATTATTTTTCATTAAGCTGTGTGAATGGGAACACACAACAAACAAAAGGGTTTAAATTTGACTGCAAAAGTGGAGCACTTTAAGCTGGCCATACACAATTAAAATTTTATTCAAAAATTTTAATTTTTGGAACGTTTGTTGTTTTGTAATGGTTAGTGGTGTCTAAGGCTGGGTTCACACCTAGGCATATTGAATATGCGCGTTTGTCACGCGTTTTTAACACGATTCGTAAAAAACCACGCAACAAACATTAGGGGGTTTCAAACAAAATTAGTCGACTCCGTGATGGCAAGATCGAATGCCCAGATGAATAGTTTTGAGTGCATGTTAGGCTTTATTTACAAGCTGCAAACAAAAAAAAAAAAAACTATATTTACCTTTACAGGTCTGCTATGCAGATCATGTTTAGTGAGGCTTCTTCAACCTTTTGTTGTGGATACCTATACAAGTAGTAACAGGCATCCATGTTGACTAAATTGGGCATATTTCAATTTCCAAACATATGGAGACAGTAAGGTTAAAGTGACACTAAACTCAGTAGTTAAATCTTAAAAATGCATTCAAGTACCTTAACTATTAAAAAAAAAGTGTATATTTTTTGTGTATCACTCAGCTGTAGATCTTTAAATCATCTCTGAATTGGTGCCGACACTGTCCTTTCTTCTTGAGGGTGGCTACTTTTGTTCCCCATGGTCCCTGTGTCTGTTGTAAAGTAGCCACCAAGCTCACTCCCATGGTGGACTACAATCTCCCATTTAGTTGGCTAATTTATATTGAAGTTACAGCCGATACACAAATAACATACATTTTTGTTAATAGTAAAAAAGGTACCTGAATGTATTTTTAAGATTTAACTCCTGAGTTTAGTGTCACTTTAACAGGATGAGACCGTCAGAAGTACCTCGTATACAAATATGTTTCACTGGCAATCTTCTATTTAAATCAAAATTAAGTTTTTGGTGGAAGAGCTTTAAAATATACAAATGCCCCTATAAAACAACCTTTTCTGTAATAACAGTACATCGTTTATTAGAAGTTTGTTAGAAGATAGCACTCCTGTATTCCATTTCAATAAAAGATGATTTACTTCCTTGCTGGGAAATATTGGGCATTAAAAGTGGGAAAAAAACATTTGTTAAAACAATTTGTCTTACAAAAAGTATGCATGTATGAGAAGTCTGCAATTTAGCTGCATTAACTCTGGTGAAATCATATATGGTACAGCTGAAGAAGCTGTACACATGCCAACTAAAGGACCTTTTTTGCAGAACATAATTAACTGTCAAGTATGTACATGTAGCAAATGTTAAGCACAGGAAAGTGTTTCAGGTCACACTGTGTAAACCAGAAAGATATTCAACCAAAGTTCAAACGTTTTAATTGCAATGGAACACCTGCCTTAGGCCTGTAGGAAAGACGTACAACTGTCACAGAGGGACATCATGTTTTTTTGTGACCTTTGTCTCTACAGCGAATGACAATTTAAAATGCTCTAACAAAATAAGAGGTCTTTAGTAAGATTAGGAGTTAAAAAAAACTCCCAGGCAGCTTTAAATCAAAATAGGTTAACTTTTGTTTTTCTAGAATCCATGAGGTGCTTACAGTAAATATAAAAAGGTGGCCTAATAAATCTTTGGACAAGTCAGAGCACCTTCCTCTCATAAGATTTGCGTTATCGTGCAATATGAAAATTGTCAGTATTGTCTGAGAACGAAGCTGACATCCCACCCCTTCAAGCCATTAAAGGCCTACTGGTGAGATCCAAAGCTTTTTCTAAATTTTATTTTAAGACTATGGGGTTTGTTCACTTAAAAAGGAGATCTATGAGGTGAGTGATTTCCACTCATCCTCATCGTTAGAGCCGACCTGTGACAAAGAAGCTGTCACAGGTCGCCTCTATCGATCGGGAAGTGCGCAGCGAATGTAATTGTTCCCCAAAGGGATTCCCTCGTCCCATCCTCTGATTCTCCTGCGCTGAGTGGAGGAATGGACGGGGGAGGGGACGGGTACAGCTGGCTCAGCCTCTTGATAGGCAGAGCCAGCTGTCACTCACGCAGCAGGGTGGATCGACAGTATTGTCGGGATCAGTCCTGGCTGCAGCGCTCACAGTATATCGCAGGCAACAGCCCGCGATATACTGAGCTTTGGGTCACGGGAGGACGCTAGTATATGTCCTCCAATGACCCTAAAGAGAACTATGGGGAAAAACACTTAACCCATAGTTCTTTTAATGACATTAATATAAAAGGTGTTGGTTCAAACCAAGCGCAGAGATCTTGCATGTGGAAACCCAAAGAAAAAAAAAATGTAAACAAAACAAAAACAAAAAAATCTTCAATTTCAACTCTGCAGCATATACCAAAACTAAGATATCAGTTTTAGGTTGATTGACCTTTTACTCACAAACTCATTGAAATTCTGTATATCCTTCTAAGTTAAAAAAATCCTGATTTACAAGACCCAAACTTGCTCAAAGTATATTGCAGACCCAATGCAATATTTTTTAACCCCTTCATGACTGAGGCCCTTTTTTCAATTTTTGCACCCATGTTATATTCCACATTTTAGGCCTGAAAATGACGTAAAACCCCCCAACATTATATATTTTCTGAATGCCAAGACCCTATAGAATAAAATGGTGGTAGTTGAAAATTTTTATGTTGCGCAATATTAGCGCAACTCCTTATTATCTCCATGCAATAGGATATAAATATGTGAGGCACAATTTCATGAGCACAAATTAGTCAACTCTTGATACAGCATTTCTGGCAAGATAAACCACAGTAATTTAGCTCATTAACATTGCAAACAGTACAAGCAATATTACACAAGTTATTTTCCCAGATACTGGTTTTTTTTTTCCCCCAGTCAAAGGAAAAGCATTTAATGTAATGTATGAATTGTTTTTTAACTTCTTATTGGCACAGAATTTTAACTTTTACTGGGTTTTTGACCACTGTTGCACTATGGTTAGAATTACGTCTGCCAAAAGTTACATCACACGTCCATACTACCTCTTTTGTAATGTTGACTCATGCAGCCGAGAAATTCCGGTTTACTTTAGTTATTGTGACCAATGTTCCTGCCAGATCAGCCATCTATTGCTTAGCCCTGTGCTATAAACTGCAGTCTCAAAACGGCAGCTAGAATTTTATGATCAGCAATGTCATGCAAGTTTTTTGTTTTATATTTTGCTTCAGTGGTCAGTAGAGGTCCAAGCATTTGACAGTTGACAAACTGGGGATGCAATTTAGCACAAGGGGGCAGAGCTTAATCCTGACATGAAGAAAAGTCAATAAGCTGGATGTAATTTATCTTAGTGTACGTTTTAAAAACCTTGTTTCTTTCTCCATTCAGTACACTTGCTCACTACACACAAGCTCCACTTCATGATTTTGCTTTACTGGTCCTACAATGCAAGTCTATAACCGGCTGGCTCATTAAAAACAACGCACTCCCTAAGAGTGGCTAACCTACAAATTTAGAAAGAACATAGGACAGCAGTCATTCAAGAAAGCAAAACTAAAAAATACCCAGAATATGTGCTCACTGGAAATACATTAAGCATAACCTTTAAAGTAGAACTTTGGCCATTACCAAAAATGTGCTGTTACTCCTACTGAAAAGTCTCACAAATACCTGAAAATCCTGCTATTGAAGACCCCCTCATAGTTTCCTGTGATGGGCAACACTTCTGAATTCAGAGCAACATTGTCACCTTTATATTAGGGGGGAGGGGCGCAGCGGGCAGGGAAGCACAAATGGAGGATTTGGCTTACTCATGGGAGGTAACTATTTTGCCATCATGAGGCTCGTGCATCACATAACAATTAGGACCTATTTATGACACACAGGCACCATTTGATGTACTTTTAGAATCATCTGTTTCAAACTTCAACTATAGTCCTACTACTGCTGATGACATCCAGTCAGCATGTACATATATTTAACCGCTTGAAGACCAGGTGTTTAGACCCCCTTCCTGGCCAGGCCATTTTTCAGTGTTCAGCGCTGCAGTACTTTGACTGACATTTATTCCGTCATGCAACGCTGTACTGAAATGAATTTTATACAATTTTTTGGGGACAGATATATACTATATTCAGGAGAAATTACTGAAAATTTTGGAAAAATTTTTACATTAGGTTATAAAACAACTATTACCCACTTTTTTGGTAAAATATAAAAGACGGGGTCACGTCGGGTAAATAGACACCAAACATGTCAAGCTTAAAAATTACGCGCACTCGCGAAATCGCAAAAAACTAGCATACCCAAAATTGGCCTTAGGCGACGCTTTAAAAGCTTTTACAGCTCATCAGTTTAGTGTTATCAGCGTTTGATGGCCCTAGAATTATTGCTCACTGCGACATTTGCGGCGATATGTAACATGTGCGGCGTAATGGGCGCAATCGTCGTTTTCGCAGGTATGAGCACCTGACGCATTTTAACATGCGTGTATGTATGGGGGGACATAAAAAAGTTTTTTTTTATTCTTTATGTGTAACTTTAAAAAAATTTGGGGGGAAACTTTAAATTTGTTTCCTATTTTTTTTTTTATTAACTTTATTGCAATCACAGAGGGGGCTAAGAAACCAAAAGAGGTGACGGGTGCTCTTTATGGGAGACACCAGGGGTCTCCAAGACCCCTGTCACCTAGGACCCCCCTGAAGATCTGCTTCATCAGCTTCTCTCCAGCATCTGAAGCTGGAGAGTGACACGAGAATGCGGAAGTGATGTAATATACACCACTTCCGCATTCGGACAGCGGAGAGGGGACCGGAGTGAGATCGCGAACCGACCTCCCTCTGATCCCCTGTGACAGAGGCAGTATGCTGGTCCCCGGCTCACACCGGAGCCCGGGACGAGCTTGACAGCGGGGGAG